TTGGGAGGTCCGCTTGCCCATAATCTTCAGGCTCCAGAATGGAGCAGTCTTCCCAATTGAGGCCAAAGCATTCAGCTGAGCGAAGCCAACCCAGCCAAAGGACCAGGTTAGCTAGCCCCGCTAGAGCAATGTCTCGGCGTTGGACGTCAGAAGTGGCTTCATAGAATTGGCGGTCCAAGAAGTGATCCAGAGCTCGAATGTGGCGATCCAAAAGGGCCACAGATGGCCAGGAGTAATCCCCCATTCGTGCTACCATTCCCTTTGCAAACAAGTGGAATGACAAACCATCCGTCGGTCGACAATCTTGATATAGAACTTTGTTGTCTTGTGACATGTATGCATTTTGCGGAGTGTTGAGGGAGTCCAGTGATAACCACTGGGAAGCGGCCAATCGGAGGGCTCGGACCACTGTGCCAAAGCTGATGGGAGTTTGAGCACCTCGGTCGTGTTTTTTGGTGGAATGGCGGAGGCTGTACCATTCCTGACACCACATGAGGGGGATATCAGGGCCGGAAGGGGCTCCAGCAGAGCGGTGGGCTTCAATACTTGTATGGCAAAATTGGTCTCAAATTGGCGGATAATACTCAGTTTCGACTTGTAGCTAGCGTGGGTTCCTTTGGCCCATGAGGAGATGATGTCCAACATCTGATGCGTTCCAACATCAAGAGGAGGAGGTTGTCGGCACAAACTAATTCATGTTGTAGGTACTGTCGCACAGTGCAGGCTTCGCAGACAAAGTTGGGCCAGGTGGCGTGGCGGCGGAAGGTCAAGCCTTCATCGCGGAGGCGGCGAGTCTTAAAGGGTTCCCCAGCTCGGAAACAGTCACGGTGGTAGGTGGAGCCACAGGCACGGAATCGGCCGAATCCCTTAGGCGGAAAGTTATCAAACCAAAAATGATGCATGCAGCGTGAATTTTTCCACGCTGGACAGTTACTTCCGGGTACCCCGTTGAGCTGCATCCATTTTGGCTCAAGCTGGACGATTGTCCATGCACGGTGCATTTTGAAATCGAACGATTTTGATTGGCCAATTCTCAAAAATGGTTTCGAAGACCTCAACTCACAATTCACATCAAAATAAGAAAAGACTTCATAGTACTTGATCTTCTGCTCTTTTCACTAGTTTATCATGACTAATGCCGTGTCAATTTTCGCACTAGACTCTGATAGCGAGGACGATGATAACCTTCATTACAACATTGGTTTGAACAAACAGAATTACAGCGCGAAAACAGTTGTAATATGTACGGAATAGACTGAAACGGCAAGATGTGTGCATCTACTCATACTATACTCCAACGTAGACCGCAGGCACACTGTTCGATTTCTTTGACTACATTGTGTTACAGACGGACAAAGGCCGAACGGCCTTTGACCGTCAAAAGTTGTTGTCGATGCGCCCAGGCAAATGATGCCCAGTTTATCGACTGAGATTGAATTCACCCACTTGTGTCGTGGTAATTCAAGTTGCAGAAAAAGACGGCCGCAATCAAAATCGTGAAAAAGTGGTGTGCCAAACGGCTTGTCAATGTAATCGTGTCAAACAAAATGCGCAACCAACTTCACCTTCGAAACGAATCTATTACAAGAGAAGAGATGAATAATAATATGAAGTCTGGGCAATTTTTCTATGAACAGGTTGTGGAGATATACAACGATCCGACCCAATGCACTGAGCCCATTAGCCCAGAGATCGACGATTCTCCACTGGATGAAATACAAGGCACATTCCATTGGACGGAAGCAAAAGCGAAGTTCAATTCAATTGTCAAACTGTACGAGTCAGCGCGAAGGGTTTGGAAGACAAGTGGCAACCACGGAGATTTTGCTGAATACACCACTGCGGATTACCTCTTGCATCTGCATGCAGCCGTCGAGAAATATCCCGGCTGCTTGAGTCAACTTTGCAGTAAGTGGTTGAACACTTTCTTGTTATTCCTTTTTTGAAATCGAACCTTCTTCTGTCTGTTCCTTTCATAGGTAAACTCCCAGAAGAACACTTCAATGAATCAACAAATGGCTCCAAAGCAATGCCTCCGCGATACCAATCTGGTAACACAACAAGAGAGAGAAAGCGGAACTCGGACACTATCGAATTCATCCATTCGCCGGAAGTTGTTGAGCTAAGCAAGAAGAAGATGAAATTACTGGAGGAACAGTTTGAAAGGCAAAAAGAAAAAGCCGCGGCAAAGAAGAAAGAGAAGGAGGAGAAGAAGAAGGAAAAGGAAGAGAAGAAGAAGGAAAGGAAGGAGAAGGAGGAGAGGAAGAAGCAGAAAGAGAGAACTGAAGTCTTGTCAAAGAAGTTCATCTGATTGGTTAGATTCACTGGATTCGTTTTGAGAGTCACTGCATTCATTTTGAGAAACGTGAGTATCCTTCATTCGAGGTCGCAACCTGGCAGGTCGCTCACTGTGAAGGTACCCAAGGTTGTCTCCAATGAATTCGTTGTAACCTTCCAATCGATCGATCGCAGCAATGGTTCTGAGTTGTGCCATACTTTCAGTTCCTTGTAGTTGTATTTTTTCGATTTCTTGCTGGTCAATAACAAAATTGTGAAGTTGCGAAGCAACTTGGATAATCTTTATGTTTTTATCCATCTTGAAAGAAAGCTTAGTCCGAAAGATGCGCCACTTTGTTGATAAGCGACCAAAGGACATTTCGATTCGGATACGGAGTTGTGACAGGTAGAAGTTGAAAGTTCTCTTCAATTCTTCATACCTCTCTGCACCGCTAAAGGGTATAACAAGACTGTCAGAAAGTTGGTAAGCGTTGTCGCCTCCAACAAAAGCTTCATTCGGTAAATTGTTGATCCATTCTACCAGATTTTCACAACGGGCGACTGCTCTGGCATCGCCTGTTGATCCCGGAGCAGCGACAGTGAAGTAAATGTAACGTAGTTTCGCGTCACACATTGCTTGTACATTCAGGCCGTAGACATGGTAATGACCACTGAAGTAATCTACGACGCTCAGCTATCAGAATTCGTCGTTGGTTATGATGCCATGCAATTCAACATAACTGTACTTGCTATGCCAAAATAAAATTATAGTTGGAAAGTAATTGATGTACGACCAATACGACTACCATATGGATGAGGTGCATGCATGCACCATTTTTCCGGTTTCGCGCTATCGACTTTAAACACGCGTGCAGGGTGCAGCAAAAAAAATGAAATGCACTGCACGCTGCATGCTGGACGCGAAACGTGGTTCGATAACTTCCCGCCTTAGCTGAAAATGTGCATTGAAGCCGTGTCTCAATCTCCTTGCGGCTGAACCCTCTCTGGCAACCCGCGCGTAAGTGTGGCTTGGGCGGCATGCCAAGAGGGGGCGGCAGTGGGAGTCTTGTCCAACCTAGAGTTGGGATTGAAGGAGAGAGTGTGAGGCGCAATGTACAGAACAACAATTGGTATCGGCAGGAGGCGTAGGTTGGTCTTGTGCGGGTAGATGGTGTCAAGTTCGCGGACGTAACGAGACATGTGTCGCCAGGAAGCTTCAACAACTCTGGGGACAAAGAGCAGCGCGGAGGTGGTGAAGGGGCATTCAACCCACGAGTTGAGCAAGAAGGTGAGGAGCTGGCGGGCCAGCTCCGGCGGTGGGCACCATACTGTGGTTTGGTGGAGGCAGAGGGATGCTGTCCAGGGTTGGTTCCAGGATCTGTACTGCGTCAAAGGGGCCGATTGTGGAAGGTGGGTCCACACCAAAGTCATGTCAAAGGGGACTGGATCAAAGATAGCCTGAGTCAGTCTATCAGAATCCATGATGTTTTGAAGTGCCGACATCCAAACGCCGCGACTGAGGCCATCAGTCCCTTGGGTGATCAACACTCGGCCTGGTACATGGACAACTTGGAGGACACATTGTAGGTCCAGTTCAAGAAGTCTGATCTCGCTAATCAATTTGTGGAGGGAGCGTGTTCGGGAAGAGCCTGTGGTGGCAATCCAGTAAACTCCCGAGTTGTCAGTGAAGTAGAAAACGGTAGTCCCAATCACCTGGTGGGCATGGGGGCTTTCTTTGATTCGAAGCAGGGTCTCTTTCAGGGTCGCTAACTCTTTCCATACAGAAGGGAAGATGTAGATGGATGGTTTCCATTTTCCTCGCCACATCTCAAAGTCACAATTTGGGAGTTGTATGGTGCCCCCGGTGCCAGTTCCACTTCCGTCTCCAAAGGTTGGAACCAGTGTTGCAGCTTCCCATCCTCTGACAAAGCGTCCTTCACTCCGAGTGAGGAACTGTCGCCACCAATGGAGTTCGTCGAGCACCTCCGAGTTGAGGAAGGTGGTAGTGTAGTAGGGTGCCGCTCCGTTGCCAAGTCCTGGTGGGTGGACAATGGTGTGGAACTCTTTGAGATGCGTATGTCCCAATCGCCGGGGAGTTGCTTCTGTAAGAGACTCCAAAACGCCGACTGCAACCGCAAGACCAAGACGGGACCACCTCTTGTGCTTTGGAGATTGGATCAAGTAATCACATATGGCCAGTGCCCTTTCTTTCTTGGCTTCTGGGATTCGAAGGCAAGGGACAGCTGTGGTGTCAAAGAGGAAACCACAGTACTTGACAACTTGCTGAGGCGGTACCAATTTCTTTGGGTGAAAGAGGAATCCACAGTCAACTGCCGTGTCCAAGAAGAATTGCAGCCCTCGGGCTGTCTTTTCGTGCGTGGGCCCATGGATGAGGAAGTCGTCCACCCAGACCCAGATGTGCACAGCTCCTCCATCGTTGGAGGTCAAGATGAATCCATAGCCAAGCTTGGGATCGAATCCGTTGGCTTGTAGACCCGTCCAGTAGCAGTTAGCTCTGGCTTCACCTTGGAAAACGCCAAATTTCTCCTTCACAAGTCGGACAAAGGCGAGACCGATTCGGCAGGCAATGGCTGGACTGTTGCCGGCTCCCATAGCTAGCCCATAGTAGGTCAGGAGCTCCGCGGTCTTAGGATGAAGGAGACCAAGGTACGGTCAGTCATCTGGGTGTGTCGGAAAATTGTAAAAGAACTTGGACAGGTCAACCACTGCAGAGTATCCTTCAGTGTACATTTGGTCCACAATGTGAGCAATCCTGGGCATGAAGACAGGGTCCTGCCCAACACAATCGTTCTGACCACCCCGTAGCATGTCGGCAATTACCCGCCATTGTCCCGGTTGGCCATCCTTCCCGACCACAAATAGAGGGGCGTTGGTGAGGACGGTCAGTCCTTCATCGATGCTTGGAAGTACCCCAAGTTCAACAAGTTCGTCCACAAATTGGACAGCAGCCTCTAGCATTTCTTCATCCATTGGAGCGTTGGGTCGGAGGCAGGGATCTGGCTGTTTCAGGAAATTCTGGCGTGCCCCATTTCGTAGTTCCCCCCAGTGCTCAGACGGGAACTCCCACCATAAAAGTTGAAGTCGTTTGGGGTCCGGTCCCTCTGAGTTGTAGTTGTTCCGGTGGACGGCTAGTCGTTGGATGCCATCCCAGTAGATGTTGTCTGGTTCCGGATAATGGTCAGCGGCCCAGGGGAGGTTGGCGAGTCGTAGTGTGTGCCAGGGGCTACCCAAGGAAAGATCTGGGGGATGCCAATTGAACACATCGTTGTCGAGTGTGATGGTGGTTCCCGGTCTTTGGTCCCTGTGTCGTTTTCCCGGGTGCAGAAGTTGGGTGGCTGAATAAATGTTGTAGCGAGAAAGACAGGTGTTCCCAATGGAAAAGTGATGTAGTTCGTTGGAGGCTCTTGTGTGACAGCTCAGTTTCGCAGCCTTTGGGGATGCCCAGTCCCTGTGCAACTTCTTCCTTCATGAGTCGTCGAACACCCTTCTCCGTTTTGATCCATGCTCCTATTTGGTTAGGCATCGGGTCATGTAGGGAGTGGGGTGTGTGTGCACTGCCAGATTGGGAGTAGGAGTTGCGCGGTACCAATCCCGGTGGCGTGAGGAGATTTCCCATAGGTCGGATCACAGACAGATCTCGATCTAAACTGTCCCATGTCCATTGTGCCCGACAATCAATTCTTGTCCGAACCACCAGTAGCCGTTCTTGGGTGACGGCACCTCCTATTGCTGTTGCCTTGATAGTACGGCAATTGATATTGTAGCCAGCTTCTCTCCATCTAGTAGTTGTAGGTTTGCTTGTTGGTCCGTACTGCCACAAAGTTGGGTCCGAGCGCCAGGATTCAATGATAACCTTTGGTCTGTGTGTTTGGGAGGCACGGAATCCACCATGTCCTCCCATGGTTCTCGATTGGGGCCGCCACTTAGTCAAGTGTAGTGGCCTTTCTCGATCACCAAAAGATCCACCGGATGAGTGTCGAGGAGCCCTTTCCATTGACGGTGGGGTCCATAGAGCACCACTGGTGGGTCCTTCAAGTCTGTTGGAACAGTCTCCCCATTTTCTCTGATGGAGAATGTTACCTTCATCTTGGGCCATGCATAACGCATGACTTCACATCCACCTCCTATAATGCCCAGGGTTTCCAGTCCTACCGAAGTTGTTGCAGCTACCTTACGAATCTCTACTCCCACCGTTGCTGCACTTGCCATGACTCCATCTGTACGAGTTTGCTCACCTTCCAATTAAACAAAAATACAAACAGAACAGTCAGCTATAACGGATTAAATTGATATTGCTTTCACAAGTGTGGTGGTGGTGGTGGTGGGTGTTGATCGTAGGTGGCAGTTCGGATGATGGATGACTGCTTCATTTGGCTTGATGTGTGATGTGTGCATTGTCCCCAAAGTAGAGACCTTTTGGTCGTCCCTTCGGAATAGTTGTCCCCAAAGTAGACTGCCTTTCGGCCGCCCCTTCGGATTTGTCCCCAGAGTAGACCAAGCGGTCCCTCCGGAATTTTGCTTCAGAGTATACCACGGGTGTGGCACCTCCGGTGGTTGCCGGTTTCTCCCCCGGTTTAGGATTTCTTGGGCCAGTTGTCTGAGACTTCCTTGATAATATCTCCAACTGGGCGCTCTTTGTTTGCTAAGACGGCAGTGGCAACTTGTTCCGCCGCGACCTTGGCCCATGAGCCGGCATGCCTTGCCAGGGGGCAAACAGTCTTGTTGTGCTCCAGTTTCAAGGCAGTGTGCATGGTTCGACTCTTGCATTGAGAACACTTTTTGAGGGTCGAATCTCCTTCCTTGTCCTTGTCCTTGTCCTTGTCCTTGGTAGGTTCCCGGCCTCCTCGACCCTTGGCCGCCTGAAGAGATTCCAACTCCCTTTGGAGCTTCTGATTCATCTTGTCGACCCTTCCAATGTTCTTTTCAGTGATGGTGTTGCTGTCAAAGTCCTTCTTGCGGGCATTGCGTAGGTAGATGTAATTTTGGAGGAGCAACATCTTCTTGCTGTTGGAGTTTGTGCGGATGTCCAGGAGATTCTCCGAGTGGACCTGGAGTATGACGTAGGCCTCCGAGTCTTCCCAGGCTTCATCCGAGCCCATATCTTTGTGGCGGATCTTGTTGAGAAGGGCCAAGAAGTTGACATAGGTTTCCTTGATGATGCGGGGCATCAGACCTCGTTCAACGTAATCTTCCACAAATTCAGTCGAATAGCCCAGTCGGACCAGGTAGTGTAGGAACTGGAAGCGTTGATTCTTGAAGGTGTCTTCTTCTTTCTTGAGGATCTTCTGGCAGGCTTCGTGGAGTTTGTTGCTGCTGGTGATGAGGCCAAGTCCATGGCGACCTTTTCGACAATAGCCAGTGTCTAGCAGGGCGATCTTGGTGCTGTCCGACCCAAAGGTTTCCAGGAGCTGGTTCATCACTTCCTCACCTGCTCCACCACTTTCACTATCACCCCCTCCTGGCGAGCACTTACCTGGTAATGCCGCCATATCGCTTGCTCTGTCCCACAATCCTTTAATTTTGGCGTTCTTGAGACCCTCCGGCATCATTGCTCGATCGATATCTAGACTTGTAATAGAAACTCCATGGATTTCCTCCTCATTGCCTTTAGAACTGTCCGCTTGGTAGCTCTTGATCGTGGCCTGGTGGAAAGCCGGCCTCAGGGGTTCTTCAGGGGATATTGCTGGAGCCGTTGATGCTGGATTGTGGATGGGGTTGGCACTGATTGGTCGGGTCCCATCCACCAGAGTTGGACCAGAAGGATGTGGTTGTTCCTGTCCCATGTTGATAGCGGACATTCGCAATCTTGCTTCTTCTCGTTCTTGCTCCATCCGTCTGGCTGCGTTGCTCATTTTATCCGCTGAGTCCTGAAGCTTTACAAAGTAGGGATGGATGGCTTCAAGGACAGATTGGAGGACGGGCTGATTGTTCTGAGTTTCAGCAGCCGCTAACTCCGGTTCGAGTATTCTGGCGGTCGTAGGTGGCTGGGGGGGAGACTTCAGAGTATTGTTACCTTCTTCAATAGTGACTTGTTTGGGCGTTGTTCCCTTCAGTGTCCTCTTTCTCGCGATGGGAACTTTCCTCTGGGAGGTTGCCCTAGTTTTCTTCCGGGTTGGGGTGCGCTTCTTCTTACGAGGAGACTGGCTTGCCGCCTTCTTTGCCTCCACTCTTGCCTTCTCCGCTTTCAGCTTCTTCAACTTTGCCTCTTCGATCTCAGCGATCAGTTCATTGATTCGGTCAAGGTCGTCTTGGTGATCGTTGTCTGAGCCATCCAAGAATTGTCCCTCAGAATCCACTTTGCTAGTATTGACATCGGTGTCATCATGCTCTTCCTCGTCGTCTGAGATGGAGAGAACCTCAGTGGAGACTCGGTTGAGATGCTCGTCCATTTCCTTCTCGGTCCGACACTGACCATATTGTTGACCGTGAATAATAAATTCCCCAGTTTCCTTGTCAATGTCCTTGGTAGATGGGACTCCTTCATACCAACGTGGGGCTGCCCGTTCGCCACTGCTTCGAAGTTCTTTATGGAGGCGGAGTCGGCACTTGCTCTTTAGCTTGCCACATATGATGTTGTCTTGCTTGCTGTTTGTCGTGGGTCCGACACATTTCACTCAACAGTGATTTGTCATGAGATGGACCCCAGCGCTGAGTGGGACCTCTCTATCCCCTTCGTAATCGGTCAACTCAGCTTGGTCCTCAGGTCCGGTATCTTCTGGCTTGGTGTCAGGTTGTGGTCCTTGAGGGTTTCTGGAAGGGGCTCCATCTGAAAGTGTAGCATCATGGTCTGAATCCGGGGCATCTTCGTTTTCATCACTGTCGATTTCAAATTGGCGATATCTCGCCGGTCGGGCCAAGGAAATGGCCGAAGCTGTTCTCGTCGAATGAGAATGGCGAGAAATGGCGGAAGTTACGCTGTCTCCCTTGCGACTCATGCCCGCGCTTGATGCGTCGGAATGTACAGTCTCCACTGGTACCCTGGTCCCTTCACGCGTCTGAGCACAAGTTCGTCCGGTATTGGGAGAAAAGAAACGTGTAACGTATTCTAGCAGGCTCATGATGACACTCCTCTCCCCTATAACTCCGATTCTTGTCTAAAAATCACCTTACCCCCTAGCAGTTAAAAATTTTCTACCTATTGCTGGAGTCTGAAGGTGTTTTGCTCAAGTTCCGAGTTGGATTGATTTGTGTGCTTTTTGATGCAGCTGCAAGTCATTCCAATTTGGGGCTTTTCGCAGGCTTTCCTCCCGTAACGTGACTGACTGGACTGCCAAGTCCCAAGCAGATATATTAGAGCGATCAAAGGCCAACGGTCGTCGCCAATCTCAAGCCCAAGATCAATCATCTATCATCTACTCACAGCTGCTTCAGACCCCCATAAATACACCCCAATAGCAATATCAATCACCGTCTATCATGTCCAACAGTAGCTACATCAATGCACTAGTACGCTCTCTCCACAATGAGAGTCAGGAGCACAACGTTGTCACGTTAAGCTCCAGCTTTGTACTTTGTACGTTCACTTTCCTACGGTGGTCATTTGAAGTATTCATGACCACCGGAATCTGGAATTCTTCTTCTCTATTTCTTTTGTAACCTTTCTATACGGTCACCTGGGTAATCCTCAGCTGGAGGGGGGGGCAAACTGGGGTTGATTCTCTGTGAGCTGTTTGAGTTCATTCAGCTGCTTGAATCGGTCTTTCAATGTCACCATTGTTTCTTTATTTGACACCTGTGGTTGCTTTCGTCTTTCCAAGGTTTGCAATTTTTCGAGTGTCAACGGAAAAATTCGTTCTAAAATTCGTCCACCAGCAGTCGGCCAAACCGATATCTACCGGTACAGTATAATATCGCTCAGGCAAAAAGTTACTTTTCGCTTTAACCGATCAGGGGTCAGATAGCCTAGGGGGCTATCCCCCCCCAAATTCAACTTCAAGCAATGAGATGACTATGATAAGACGAATTTACTAATGCAGCTTTGAATATATATTCTCTTACCGTACTAGATTATCCTGGAATATTGTTGGCAATAATGATGACTGGCCGACG